AAATATGGCAGGGAGTCCTCCGGGGGGGCGGGGGGGGAGTTTGTGCCAGTTCCCCCATAATGTGGACAAGATGCAGCAGGTAAATCTGTGTGCAAACGTTTCCTGCATTCCCCGTAAAAGTGGCTTGATTGTCTCAGGACGGGGAGCCTGTGAAAAGCTCAAGATTCATCCCACCCCAGAAGTGCTTTGAGCTGTGGGGGTGAGCCTGCAGAGCCTCCCTGAGATCGCCAGAAGATCCCTGCAGCTGGATCAGGCCAAAGACCCAAGTGGTTGAGCACCTTGTTCTCACAACGGCCAACCAAACACCTTGCCCCACTGTGGGAGGCAGTGGGGCTCTGCATGCCAGTTGTTGGAAATCACAGGCGGGGAGGATGTTATAGGGGTCAGGTCCTTTAGTGCCTCTGTTTGGCCTCTGTGAGAACAGGATGCTGGACTAGAAGGACCTCATCCAGCAAAGGTCTTCTTCAGTTTCTTTTATTTGAACCGTTTATATACGGGCCACACCTCATTTACACGTGTCCAGTTGATGCGCGACCACACACACACACACACACACACACAGCATGTTGAACCCGGAATGACTTTAAAAATGAGCCCAGAAAGGTGCGAAAACAGCACCTAGCAATCCCAGAAGCCTTTGCACTGACCGTTGAGACCTGTGGAGAGTAGGGAGTTTGAGCAAGGAGCTTCGGAGAGAGCAGTTGCGGTGGAGTTTGGCAGATTTGCGGCCGTTCATGCCAGTCTGATGAGTGCTGCTGGTTTTTTTAAGGGTTTCCCAAGGGTTTCCAGAGTTGGTGGGTGTCTCCACTCCCTCTGTGGCCCCAGCTCTCCTTGTGGCATTGTGCTGGCCTTTGGCTCAGCCTGTCCTCCCCTTTCCCCACAGATTGCGAAGGCTGAGAAACTCAAGCCCTTGGAGGTGGACCTTCGTCGGCTTGAGGACCTTTCCGAATCCATCGTCAAAGACTTTGCCTTCATGAAACAACGCGAGGAGGAGATGCGCGATACCAATGGTGAGTGGCGCGAAAGCATGGCGGCTGGAGATCTTGCCCCCTGTCATTCGCTGGAGCCAAGAAAGGCTGCAGTGCGGGCCTCGTCTCTGGCTCTCACCATCTGGTGGCCTCCAGAACGTTGCTGGACTACAACTCCCATCATTCCTTACCACTGGCCATACTAAGGATGCTGGGAGTTGTAGTCCACTGACGTCTGGAGGGCACCATGTTGGCTGTGCCTGCTCTGTTGTTTGTTCTCTCTTCCTTCTCTGGCCTTCGTTTGGCTGTTAATGGTGTCAATCAGCCTTGAGGCCTCCAACATCCTATGTTCCCAGCCACCTGGCCAATGGTTGGGGATGGTGGGAGCTGCTGGGAGTTGCAGTCCAAAGAATCTTGGTGGAGGCTACCTCACAACAACCCTCCAAGGCAAGGTTGGGCTATGACTGGTGACTGGCCCAAGGTCAGCCATTAAGCTTTTGCAGGGATTTGAACTCAGGCCTCCTTGGGTATCAAGCGCTACTCCCTGCCCTGTCTACACTGGTGTGACAGTCTTACAAAGAGAAGCTTTCCCTCATTACCTGCCACAAAGTCATAAAAAATATATATTTTGGCAGTGGTGGGGACCTTCTGCATGTAGAGCAAGGCCCCTCCCTAAAATGAAGCCGAACAATAAAATATTAGAAGGTACTAATGTTATTTGTTGCATTTATTATCCTGCCGTTCCTCTGAGGAGGTAATGAGTGGCGTACAAACATACTGCATTTTTCGCTCCATAAGACACACTTTTTCCCCTCCTAAAAAGTAAGGGGGAATGTGTGCGCACCTTACGGAGCTAATGCAGGCAGGAGGCTCTGCTCAGCACTCCCTTTAAAGAGCTGCGCGGAGCGTGTGTGCGGCTCCTGCGGGCTTTTCCCCGAGGAGGGAGAAGGGCAGCCCATCAGACCCTTCTCCCTCCTCGGGTAAAAGCCCCCAAAAGCCGCACACATGCTCTGCACGACTCTTTAAAGGGAGCACAGCTCTTGGGGGCTTTTCCGGGAGGTAGGGGAAGGGACTGACAGGCTGCCCTTCTCCCTCCTCGGGGAAAAGCCCCCAGGAACCGCACACACGCTCCGCGCGGCTCTTTAAAGGGAGTGCTGAGCAGAGCCTCCTGCCTTCATTCGCATCTGGGATGCATACAGGCTCTGCTCAGCGCTCCTTTTAAAGAGCCGTGCAAAGCATGTGTGTGGCTCTTGGGGGCTTTTCTGGGAGGTGGGACTGACGGGCTGCCCTCTGTCCCTTCCCACACCTCCCAGAAACCCAGCAAGAGCCACTGCGAGGCTCTGCTCAGCGGTCCCTTGTAAGGGCTCCCTTTCGTCCCTCATCCCGCTTTGCTGGGAAGCCAGCAGAAGAGGTGCTGCACAGCTATCGCTGTTGCTCTGCTGACTTCAGTGAGAGCTGTGCAGCTTGCTCTGCTGGTTTCTCAGCGAAGCGGGAGGAGGGACGGAAGGGTTTAAAGCAAGAAAAGCGAGAGTCACTTACATGCTCTGTGCAGAATACTGGTATTTTTTTCGTGCTTTCCCCCTCTAAAAACTAGGGGCGTCTTATGGAGCGAAGTAGTTCTTTTCCCCTCCCCTGTTTATTCCAGCAACAACCCTGTGAGGCGGGTTAGGCTGAGAGACTGTGACTGGCCTGAAATCAGCGTTGTGGCTGAGTGGGGATTCGAACTCTGGTCTCCCAGATCTTAACCACCGCTCCACCCTAGGAGCTCGGAGCTGGATCTGCCACTTGGCCTTGTCTTTCTCTCTTTGCAGAATCCACCAGCGCTCGGGTCTTCTACTTCAGCATTTTCTCCATGCTCTGCCTTGTGGGTCTGGCCACTTGGCAGGTCTTCTACCTCAGACGCTTCTTCAAAGCCAAGAAACTCATCGAGTGATTGAGCTCCGGTTTGGGCACAGGGGGAGAGGCAAGAAGTGGGCGGCCCCCCTCTACTGGACTCCCCTGCCTAGTTTTGCCATGGATCTAGCCTACAACCTGTTAGGTGTGAACCATGCTCAATCTCTCTCCGCTGAATTATTCCACTCCGAAGGTGACTGCATTATTTTTTCCCGGGATTTCCTTGTGGCCAGGACTCTCAGTGGAACCTGACAACTGGACTGGATCTCTTTGCTAGCCAGGAATGGAGCCGCTCATCAGACAAGGCATGGATTCTGGGGAGCAGATTAGAAAACCATTTGCTGTTCCTCCCAAACCGACCATGGTGCTTGTTTGCTCTGCATGGTGGTGGTGCTGGGGATGTGGTGGGGCGGGTGTTTTAATTAGACTAGGTAATTTAAGTCCCAACTGCTGAGTGTAATACTTTGGAAGTAATAAATTTTGGTTCCTAGATATTGCTTCTGTTTTGGTGGGTGGGTGAGGGGAGAGTTGTGGCAAACAATGCAGGAGGGTCTTGCCTCTCCTTGCCTCATCTGGAGTCAGGAAAAAGGTATTCTACAGGGTCTATGATGTGTGGATTTTGGTAGACTGGATAAAGGCCATAAAGACGGCTTTTTTCATATGGAACTCACAGGAACTCAGTTCTGGCACCTCTCAGGTGGGTTCCAGCACCTCTTTTTCTAGAAAAATAGCACAGGCCACAGACAATTTACAGGTGTCACCCCGGTTACGCAGAGCTTAAGTTTCCCAGGTAGCATGTCTGTATGTAAAATTGCAAATAGTGGGGAACAACATCTATAAAGCCTGTAAATACTCTGGAAACCTTTGAAAAAGCAGCAGCACTCACCAGACTGGCATGAATGGTGGCTCTCAGTCTTCCGCATCGCTGGAGGAAGATGCGCAGTGTAAAGGATGAGGGGTCAGCAAACTTTTTCAGCAGGGGGCCGGTCCACTGTCCCTCAGACCTTGTGGGGGGCCAGACTTTTTTTTGGGGGGGAATGAACGAATTCCTATGCCTCACAAATAACCCAGAAATGCATTTTAAATAAAAGGACATATTCTGCTCATGTAAAAACACCAGGCAGGCCCCACAAATAACCCAGAGATGCATTTTAAATAAAAGGACACATTCTACTCATTTAAAAATACGCTGATTCCCGGACTGTCTGCGGGCCGGATTTAGAAGGCGATTGGGCCAGATTCGGCCCCTGGGCCTTGGTTTGCCTACCCATGGATTAGACTTTGGGTGGGGAGTGTGTTATTGTGGACACCCTTCTGTGGCTTGTGTGGCCAGAGGGAAAAGCAGTAGAGGCAACTCTTTGTAGGTTACCTTTCAGCTGCAGGAACGACAGAGGGGACCTGCACACACACTGATCTCTCTCCTTCCAGGGAATCTAGGGGCATTATTGCAAATTGAGGATCTCTTTCAGTCAAGCACTTGAGGGTACAGAGGAGGGACGGTGAGGGTATGGTAGGGTATGTCCTGTGAGACAGGGAGGCCAGGAAGACTGAATTTGGCCCCATCCCTGAGGATGATTTGAGAAATCTGTGGTGGTTGATAGTAGTATCAGTGACTACCTGGTGTTATAAAAATGGAACCTCCATATTTAAAGGGAGTTTGGGAACATCTCCAGTTTTTGAGTTTTCAGATTAGGCCACACCAAAGCAAGCACCTCAGATCTCCCTCACTTCGAGGAGAGAATTTCGAAGCATGTGTTTTTAACAATCCCATCAGAAGCCATGGAATTTGTGCACGCGAGTCCTTCTCTGCTCAGCACAGCTTCCCACCAGCTAAGTAAGTGTAGGGCTGCAGTTTCTAAGAAGCATGTTAGCTGAAGTCTGCCATAACTCAGGAGGCTGGGAAGGGCTCTCTGCACATGTTCAGAAGCCCTCGCTGCTTCTTAATTACAGGGGTTAAAAGTGTTTGCCTTAAAAACAGGTTCCGACGCACCAGGTCCTGTCCCTCAAATGGGTTAGAGCAAAATTTGCTTGCATCTCCCACTTCCTGTTGCAACTTTATGCACATATTACTGCCTTGTCAGCCTAACTCGCCCTCTCTTCTGGAACATAAAAAGACGACAAATTCGCAGCAAGGTTGTATTAAAATAGTCAATACATTTTTAGTGTTAAATCTGCATGCATTTCTTTATACGGATAAGATACAAAATTTGCCCCCTTCACCCTGTGCCCTTGCCAGAACTGCAGCCATTGACTTTGTGGCCATGTCCATAACGAAAAATTAAACTTAATTCCTTGCCTGTTTTAACTGTCACAACTCAGAGGAGTTTCCTTCACTCACATACCAGGGATGAGTTTTTCTAACTGCTGTCAATCTCATTCTTCTTATTGAACTAAATGACTTTTTTGAGGCCCCTTCCAACGTTAACATTCTATTCTATGGGTGTCAACCATGCTTATATGACAGGGTTGCCAACTTATCAAAAAGAAAAACAGCCTGACCTGCTCCTGTGCATTTATCAGCAGCTTGATCTGCAAAAACCAACAGAAGATGTTTCCGATGGCATGGAGATGGTACTTGTATGCAGATCTAGTTGTAGTGTTAAGGGCAGCCCTTTCCTATCGGATGCTGTGGGACTACAACTCCCTGCACTGGCTGTGTTGGTTTGAGCTGATGGGAATTGTAGTCCAAAACATCTGAAAGGGCACCAGACTAGGGAAGCCATAGGACCTGCAAGGGCCAAATAACGGGAAGAGACGGGCAAGCTCATTGTAAGGTACAACTCAAAAGAGATTCATTTTCACCCTGTCCTTCAACACGCAAACGATCCTGAATCAGGGTATATCAAATATAAAATGAAACTTAACAGTACAACAATTCCAGTAAACAAACAAATATTAATATGAAATCAAGCAGTATGACAACTTACCCTCCTTACTACAAAAGTCAGTGGCTTAATACATCAAGAACCCATGTCATAAAAAGCCTGGCTAAAGAGGTAAGTTTTCAGCTGGTGCCCAAACACTAGCTGGATCTCAAGAAGGAAGTCATTCCAATGCCAGGGAGCCACCACCATGGAGGTCCTTTCATGAGCTACGGAGGTACAAACTTCACTCGGTGATGAAGTAACTTATCCCCCAGAGACGCTGCCTTTGGGTTGTAGTTTTGTAATGGTGTATATATATATATATCACAATTCTTTGGTGACCTTCAACAGCAAAATCAGTTGAAGGTTATCTTTTGTTTCCAGGATGAGGAACCGGTGGCCCTCCAGAAATTGTTGGGACTCCAAATCCCATCATCTCTGGACAGCATGGCCAGCAGTGAGGGATAATGGAAAGTTGAAGTCCCAGCAACTTGTGAAGGGGATAGTATTCTCCGATTCCATTTGGATCAGAGGATTCCTCTGTAGCAACCAAGCATGAAGAGAAACGGACTCCCTTCTCACCCCATTAATGTCCCTTGTGGGAGAAAGGTTCTTCCACTGCTCTGCCCCAACACTGACAACTGCCAATTGGGGGCGTCCTCTGTTGATGCTCCAGCAGTCCTCCGTTACAAATTCCCGTCCCCCTCGGCGTGGGGCGCCTTCCACGCCAGCCAGGATGGGGGCAAAGCCTCAGGGGCGGCAGTGGCAGTCTCGTTCCAGGCGGATTGCTCGAATGACCAACGAGCCGTCCTCTTTGAGGAACACGAAGGGCATCGGTGCCCGGCGGGTCTGGCAGCAGTGTCTCTGTTGAGAGAGAAGCAGCAGGAGGAAGGGCTCAGGTTCAGTCCTTGATGGCATCTCCAGGCAGGGCTGGGAGAGACCCTGGTCTGAAACCCTGAAGAGCTGCTGCCAGTCAGTGTAGGCAAAACTGTGCTAGAGGGATCTGGCTTAGTAGAAAGCAGCTTCCTGGGTACAATTTATTCACTTACCATCCAAAGATAACAGGAGGGCCAACCCTAGCCTTGTTTCGCTCTCCGGAAGACAAGAACACAAGAGGGAGCCCTTAAAAAGGCCCAGCCAGGAAGAGAACAGCAAGGACCCTAAGGAGCTGCTGCCAGTCCGAGTGGGCAATACTGAGTTATGTAGACAAATAGCCTGAACGGGAATAAGGCACCTTCTTAGGTTCCCTGGGGAGGGACTATAGCGCAGTGGGAATTAACCCCTGCTTTGCAAGCAGAAGCTCCCCAGGGTCATCCCTATAATTGCTGATTAAAAGGATCTCATCCATCTCAGAAAAGACTTCTCTGCCCGTGATCAAGGCCAGATCCATCACTTGGCATCTTGACAGCAAGAGCCAGAGGTCGCTCCCCGCCCTTGCTCTGAAATCTGACCTAAATCTGCATCATTAGATATAAATTGGCATGTTGCAGAATTGTGCCCTGAAATGTTTAGGTCACCAGCGATACCCCCACAGCTTCCGATGTCCCAGAGGAGGGGCCCATACTTAGTCAGGAGCAGATTCCCTTGTTTGGCAGCCCAGAAGGTCACACCTTCGATCCCTGCATCTCTGGGAGCAGGTGCTGGGAAAGATGGGCCCTTCTCTGCCCTAGACTCTGGACTGGCACTGCCGGTCAGAGCAGACTGTACAGGGTTAGCTCAGGAGGTGCGCAAACTGTGGTTCCTCGGCCTAATTTCATACGGCTCTCTGAGAGGCGCTCTGTACCTGCTTGGCTTGCCCATCTGGCCGACGGCTCGGCTGCTCAAGTCCGCAGTCTTGAATCCAAAGGGCCAGCGGAGGGGCCTTGTCCTTTCGTCGGCAGCGGCACCCGAGGCACTGGGTGAAGACGAAGGACACCGGGTGCAGCACCCAGCTTTGCCAGCCAAGATCTGGGGGAGGAGGAAGTCCAGAAGGAAAAGGTGGGTGAAGATACAGGAAAGGTGGTGGGGCAGGAAGCTGCAGTGCAGACAGGGGGTCATTCTCCTCCATGAAACCCCTGGATTAGGGGAGGGGAACTTTTGCAGGATTCCAACTCCCAGTAGCCCCCAGCAGCATGGCTAATGGCCATGGGGCGATGGGAGTTGTAGTGTTGTAGGGCCTGACAGATCCCCTACACCTGAGGCTGAAACAAAAGGGTTAGGTGAGAGAACCCTCCCTCTTGCCATTTCTACATCCTAGACCCCTCTCCAAATCTGCATTTGTTTTGTGTTTGGGTATCTGAGTGTATCATGCAGTTCACCCCTCAAGGGGGCACCACAGTTTAAGTGGAAAACATGGCTGCCACAAGTGCATTGTGGGTAATACTCTTGAGAAAATGGAGGTAAGAGTCGAAAATTGCTGGAATGCTTCAGAGTAGAGTGCATTAACATTTATTAGCATTAGTAAACCGGAACCTGAGGAGACTGTCAATATTTTTGTTCTTTCAGGTTGGTTCTTAAAAGTGCCTCGTTTCCTTGGCTTTTAATTAAACGGCTCCACTATCCAGCCAGGATGGGCAATCTCAGGTCTGAAGGTAGCTTTCAGGCATAGGAACCAACCCTTACAGACCAAAGTCCCTTTTGTCTCCCCCCATAAAATATTTGAGGGGGCTGGGCCCCCCAAAGTTGATGCTATATTGCTCTCGGCAAGTGTCCCTATTTTCCAGGGACAGTCCCAGGTTTGCAGAAGCCATCCAGGTTTCTGATTTTATCCTAGAATGTCCCACTTTTACTTAGGACGTCCCTGTTTTCACTGGAGAAATGTTGGAGGGTGTGCACCTTCCACTTTTGCCTCTGAAACCCTGGGAGACCTGGGATCTTCCCTTCCGACGGAGGGAAATCATCCCTGATTATCTTCAGCCCCAATAATGCCCCTTTGCTTGCCTGGTGGGAGGATAGAGAAAGGTGGGTGTGCAAATGAAGCTTTGATGCCCCCCCCTTGCCACTTTTCCCTCTGGCACTGCCAACCACTGGCCCAGTGGCATAGCGTGGGTTGTCAGCACCCGGGGCAAGGCAAGTAATTTGCGCCCCCTAACCCGTGGATTTGCGCCCCCTAACCCGTGGATTTGCGCCCCCTAACCTGTGGATTTGCCCTAACCCCAGATGTTGCGCCCGGTGCGGCCGGCCCCCCCCCTGCACCCCCCACGCTACGCCACTGCACTGGCCAGTGGCTCCTGGAAGGTTGTCTAGAAGGGAATGCAGCCCTTAAGAAAAGGCTCCCCACCCCTGGCTTAGCATTACCTTCCAACGTGACATGGTGGGAAATTTGGGTGCAGCTTTCTCTTCGGACCAGCAGTGTCTCATTGGACGAAAGATCTGTTTGGGGAACAGGTGAGAGAAGAATGAAATTCGAAAGGCACTTCCTTTATTATTAGGACTAAGGAAAAGGCCACAAAATAGTGGCAAGGTTTTTAAGTTTTATTCATTCAACTTGTTTTTATTATTGCTTGTTAGCCGCCCTGAGCCCGGCCTTGGCTGGGGAGGGCAGGGTATAAATAAAAATTATTATCATTATTATTATGGGTTTCTTGGAACTCTTCCCCAGCCAAAGATGTTACAGAAAGGATTGGGGGGTGAAGTGGGCTTTGGGGAGATAAGGAACCTAAAACGGATACAAACATTAGGCTTGATTCTGCAGACATAAAGTCACCTCATTTCCAAGGTTGAGGTTGCAGGCTGTATATGTCCCTCCCAGGGCCAAATTAAGACCTTTTAGAGACCCAAAGCACTTAAAAGATTATGCTGGCCCGCACCATATTGATTCAAAATAAAAAGCAATATTATACTTTATAATAAAAAAAGGGAAAAAAGAAAGCATAGATTTATTGCAGCACATGATGGGATCTGAACTCCTCACATTATTTTTATCTAGATTAATAGGAATACTCCCTGGAGATAAGTAATAAAAAGAAAATAGAAAAATTGGGGGAAAGTTTGTAGTGGAGTGTAAGGAAGCCTAACAAAGTTGTGATTTTCCCCTTGATGGGAGGTATTCCTACTAATCTAGATCAAAATAATGTGAGGAGCAGTGTGGAAGTGATATTAATTTGGGATTACCAGCAGGTGTGTAACAGTTGCTGGTCTCAACAAATGTCCCCCAGTTTTGGTAACTCTCCCCATTCCACAGATGGGACTACCAAGGCTGAAAGTGAGCATTTGGCCCAACATCTCACAGCAGTTCCTTGGCAGAGGGAGGAATTTGAATCCACATCTCCAAGCTTCCTACGCATCAACACTAGGTATGTTGAGCTTTTCAGACTGAGCTGTTTGCTCCTGTCGATCTCAGTAAAAATGTCTGCCAAATTGAAAAGATGGACCTTTCCCCCCGCATGCTAGAAAAAACTTCACATGCTACATTTCTGTCTGTTGAGCTGCTCAGACAGCCATAAAAACAGGGCTTAAAAAAAAAAAAAATAGCAGCAACTTTTATCTCAGTTTAATTAGCGGTACTTGGTGAGGCAAAAGGAAAAGGAAGATTATTGTTAGGTGAGTTTATGCAAAGGCTTAAGTAATTTCAGAAGCTGTGCTTTCTGACCCATAAGCCCCTCACTATCAGTGGTAAGTGGTGAAGGAAAAGACACTCTGTACGTACATGCTTTAAAGGTAAAGGGTAAAGGGACCCCCGACCATTAGGTCCAGTCGTGGCCAACTCTGGGGTTGCGGCGCTCATCTCGCTTTATTGGCCGAGGGAGCCGGTGTACAGCTTCCGGTCATGTGACCAGCATGACTAAGCCACTTCTGGCGAACCAGAGCAGCGCACGGAAACGCTGTTTAACCTTCCCACCGGAGCGGCACCTATTTATCTACTTGCACTTTGACGTGCTTTCGAACTGCTAGGTTGGCAGGAGCAGGGACCGAGCAACGGGAGCTCACCCCGTCGCAGGGATTCAAACCGCAGACCTTCTGATGGGCAAGTCCTAGGCTCTGTGGTTTAAGCCACAGCGCCACCCGCGTCCCTTGTACATGCTTTAGGGAACTGATATTCCAGGGTAGCCTTGGCGTTGAAAGCAGATCCTGGAGCCAAGACCCAGTGCCGATCAAACCCCTGCCTTGGGGTTGGGATAAGTGGGCAGGTCAAGGTGAGGGATGCAGAAGTGGGGTGGGAATGAAGACTCACTGAAATGCTGCCCCCCACTGGACAGATCCGGCAGTTCCATCATTTCCCAAGCTTCATGCGCCTGCCTCCTTGTGCCAGCTGCGATCCTGGGGGGGCTGTCCAACCGGAGCAACCGGAGCGTGGCAGAGCCCACTTCCTGGAGGGCCCGCTCCCTGCAGCTGCCGGAGGAGACAGAACAGGCAGAGATCAGCTACAGGTTCTACAGCTTGCCAATGTCGCTTGGGGAAGGGCAGATCATATGCTTTGCATGCAGAAGGCGCCGGGTTCAACCCCCGATGGCATCTCCAGCTAGGGAGAGATGCTGCCAGCCAGTGTGGACATTACTGAGCTAGATGGCCCAATGGTCTGAGTTGATAGGAGGCAGCTTCATATGTCCTTCTGCTGTTGCAATGCCACTTCTGTTTGAGCTTTCAAAACCACACAAGCACAGCATGGGTTTCATGGGGGAAACGTCTCTCACCCTTGCAGGAGAGGTAGCTTGTGCAAAAAGGCACAGGTATGAGTTTGGGAGAAATAAGGTTCAGTTTGCATTATCGCAGGAGCCTATCTAATTTGGGTTTCATGAAACAATATGTGAAACAAAGCTTACGACACCTTCTTTCCTCCAAAAAGCTCCTTTTATCTTCACAACATCCCTGTGAGGTAGGTTAGGGTGAGAGGCAGTGATTAGCTCACAGTCACCCAGTGAGCTTCATAGCTGGGCTGGGATTCGAACTCTGGTCTCCCAGGCCCTAGTCCAACAGTTCTCCAACAACAACAAAATTGCACAAAACTGTATTAGGGGAAAGTGTGCAGCAAAATGCACACATCTTGGTGAAAATGGTATACAAAGCCGCACTGATTTTAGGACAAATTGCTTGCAGAGATTTGTATATTAGGAGAAATGTGCAGTAAAAGCTGGCTGTTTTTATGAGGAATTTTTCAATAAATTGCAAACTGCTGGAGAAATGTTGCAAACTGAAGATTAGAAAAATGAGAAGCTGAGACAAAATGGGGCAGACTCATCCGTCCCATAGGCACAGGAGCAATCTCTTCTGAGGTTGCCAACAACAACAAAACAATATAGCCCTCCCTGCTCTTCTGCTTTTAACAGCAGCTTGACGAGCAAGGGATTAGCAGGGGATGCATTCCCCCTTTAATATCTGCCAATAAAGCTGCTATAACAAAACGGAGGAGCAAAAGCTGGCTGGGAAACTGGCATCCAGTTCACTGAACAAGCAGGAGCCTAAACAAACCCAGAGAAACATCCATTGTTTCCAATGCCTATTGTTACTCAGATAACCTGCTGAATACATCCCTTTCTAAAAGGATTGTGCTTTCCCTTCCACCACAACTCTGTCCTCCAGAATGAGCCTCCTCTCTGTTTTAGCTCAGCTCCTGGCACCACACAGAGGTATGACTACAACAAATTTCGGGTGGCCTTTTCTGTCCTCTCTCTGCAACACAGTTCTCCACCTTCAAATTTAGCTACACAATCCTCCTCAGCCAAATTAATTTAATTTTAATAATTTATTTTAATAATTTTAATTTTAATGAAGCAGAACAGGCTAAGGAGGCCATTTCGGATCTGGAAGGGACTCCTGGATTTCTAATAGCCTGAGTGACATCGAAACAGCCAAAAGTGACACAGGTATAGAGGGAGTTGCCCTCTACTGAGTCAGGCGACTGGTCCATCCAGCTCAATATTGTCAACACTGGCTGGCAGCAGCTCTCCAAGGTTTCAGGCAGGAGAACCTGGAGCCTTCCCCGAATTAATATTGGGGAGCGATTCAGGGGCAAAGCCACCCAAGCAAACATCTGGAGTTCAGGGGGGCTGACTAGTTAACTAGCTACTCCTTCCTTGAAGGTTTTAAAGCGGAGGTTGAGTGGCCATATGTCATGGTTGAGATCCCTGCATTGCAGGGGGTTGGACTAGATGGCCCCCAGGGGTCCCTTTCAACTCTACAATTCTATGACAGCATCCCTGACAGCCTGTGCCCAGCCTCTCCAGCAAAGAACAGCATACCACCTCCCAAGGAGGACACCTGTTCCACTGTCAAAGAGTACTTATGGTTAAGACGTTTCCCCCTAACATTTAGCCGAAATAATCCTCCTCCTTTCAAACAGTACAGGCAATTGTCTTTACCGCCAAGCTGGTGCTGCTGACCAGCATGGCCATGGTTGCTTTAACGTCCCTTAAAATTGTTACTGTGCTCACAGGAGAAAAGCAGGAAGCATGTCCTTGGTCCATCTAACTCAATACTGCCTACACTGACTGGCTGAGATTTCTTTCCCAACAATGATCCTCTGTCTAGGTGATAGATATTCTACCTTTTGCACAAGCCACAAGGTGGTTTATAGCAAGGCAACCATGCCGGCTGTCCCACAAGGACTGGACTAGTTGGTCTGCATTGAAGCAAGCTGAGCTAGCAGAAAGCGGCAGGGATAAGTCTGAATTGATTCCTCCCAACGAGAGCCCTTTTCGGACACAGTCCTATATGCCTGCTCACCTGGGAGGAAGTCCCATTGAACTCACTGGGGCTTACTACTGAGGAATACATGTGGGATTGGACTGTTTTTGTTGGCTGTAGCAACAGCAAGGGGAAAGACCCAGAACTCTTTTATTATGCTTTTAGATGTGCTGGAAGCCGCCCAAAGTGGCTGGGGAAGCCCAGCCAGATGGGCGGGGTAAAAATAATAAAATTATTATTAATATTAATCCTCACCTCCCTTTCCTATAGGTGCCAGCCCCACTGGGGAAGGGCTGTGGCTCACTGGTAGAGCATCTGCTTTGCATGCAGAAAAGCCCAGAATCAGTCGTGCCGGACATCTCCCTGTACGGCTTGCAATGTCCCCTGCCTTGAAACCCTGGAGAGCTGCCAATTCGTGTGTTGGACCAGTGGCCTGACTCAATCTAAGGGAGCTTGCTGTGTTCCCATTGCATTCGGTAGGGCTTACTTCTGAGTAGGCACAGTTAGGACTGCACTTTAAAAGACTGCAGCTGCAAATCCTTTGCAAACTTTGTAAGCCCCTTTCAAACGTGGCAGAGTTTGCTTCCAAGTAAACACCTGTGGGGAAATGCTGCACAAGCTTGTGCTGGATCAGACAAAAGGGCTGTCTAGTCCAGGATCCTGCTCCCACCACTGGCCAGCCTTTGGGACCCTAACAAGCATGTTACGAAGGCAATGGCCATTCCCTGATGTTCATCCCCAGCAGCTGGCAATATCCTAGGATAGCTTGCCCCTGACCATGGGAGATCAATTTAGCCAGGATGTCTAAGACTCATCTATGGTCCTCAAGAAGTTGTCTAATTAATTTCCATTATTATTATTAAAAGGCAGCCACCGGTGACATGAATTGTGGCAGAGAGGTCTGCAAGTTAACCAGGTGCAATGGAAGCATGGGTTCTGTCTGTTCTGAAACCTCTGCCAAGCTGGTTGTGGGAAGAGTAACAACTGCCAGCAAAGTATCTCTGTTTCCACATTCTCTGCAGTACGCATCATTTCAAAAATCTCTGCCGTGTTCCCTGTAACTTTTCCGCATAGGGGAACGTACGAAGCTGCACCGTACTGAGTCAGGCCGTTGGCAGGCTGGCAGCAAGGGGTCTCCCCCAGCCATACCGGGAGAGGTGCAAGACTGAAGGGGGGAAATGACTGAACCTAGGAGCTTCTGCAATGAAAGCAGATGCTAAGACGCTCAACAGGATCTCAACCCTGGGACCATCTGCATGCAAACTTTCCCTACTCCCCTGATCACACAGTCTTCTTCGTTACCCTAAATAACAACCCTCTTCCCACCTGTCATCACATCCCAACGGACCAGCCCCACACCCCGCATTTCCTTCAAGACAACACACAACACTCCCCCCCCAACACCCATTTTAATCATCACAACAAACTTGCTAGGTACGCTAGGCTGGGGGGGGGGAGCCTAGCTAGAGAGGAGGCCTGACCCCAAGCCACCCAGGGAGCCTCAGGTATTAAATCAGAGCCTCAGGTCCAGCCACCGCACCAGATAGTATTCCCAAATTGCAAGCACAAAAGGATCTGGCCAGCTGCTTACCTCTCATTGAGGGTAACGACAGACGACTCGAGCGGCTGTTCTTCATCAAGGCTGGACTCCCGGAGGAGGGCGAAGGACCCCCACGACGACATCCCTGTCAGCAACCCACTCACAAGCACCAGGTGGAACATGGCGCACGCCAGGAGGGTGCCACGCCAAGCCAGGCGGGCAAAGCCAGGGGGGAGAGAACAGCGGGGGTGCAGGGTAGCCTAGCCTGGCCAAGAATGCCAGCTAGACTAGGCGGGCGAAACTGGCTTGGGCAGAGCAAGGATGGAAGCAGAGGGACTGTGAGAACCCACTTTTATCTGCCTCTCCCCCAACACTGCCGTGACCTTGGCATTTTTCACAGGCAGGCTTGTGCCTTCCCTCAGAGGAATTGGAGAGGCAGCATCACGCGCCAGCTTCTGGGGGCCGTGTCCCAGCATTCGCCCTCCCACAAAAAAACCCTACCTCGTGTGGGGCGGGGGAATTAAAACCAGGAGCTGAGATTCAGCGTCAGAAGAACATGCTTGAAATAGCCCAACTCAGTTCTGGAAGGGTGGGCAAAGGAACTTCTGGGCATAAGCAGAGTGCTTTTAAAAAATAACAAAAACCAAACATCTGCACCTGGTGCAGGTCCCATTCCTTTCAATGGGGGCTGTGTGGGAGAACATTTCTGCTGCACTGGACCTGTTGGATTCCATGGTGGCGGCTTAAAAACCTTGTATTTTACCTCAGCCTGGGTGTTTCAGAGGCAAGATTGTGTTTCGCTGCATTAATGAACCTAAGAACATAGGCCTCCTGCTACCCTTAGGGGCTGGCTGTCCGCTGGGGGTGTCTCCTGGGCTATGCCTCCACCCATCGTGATTCAGAGCAGGCCTCTTCTCCACTCCTGCCACGGCCTTTGATTGACAGTTCAGCTGTCAGATAAGGTTCCTTTGACACCTTCATTCACCCCTTTTTCCCTGAAAGAAAAGGGGTGCCATTTTGTGGTTCACCTCAGGGGCCAAATGTCTTCCGCCAGCCCATCCTCAGCTGCTGTCACTGAGGATGTGGGCAGGAAGCAAGGCAGTGCGAAGGCCAGCGAGCTCTGAGGTTCTGCATAGACGGCCTATTTCTGGGGTACATGCCTCTGCTCCCACCTCAAAAAGCTGTAGCTCCTACACAGAGGCAGAATAAGGGAGTAAGGAGGACTGTCTGTCAGGCAGGCAGGCAGGCAGGCAAAAAACCCAATGCCTTTTCCTTCCCCCAGTTGTTACTGCTTGATGGGTCTATTGAGCAGGACTAACAATGGCTACATGGGACACGGGTGGCGCTGTGGGTAAAAGCCTCAGCGCCTAGGGCTTGCTGATCGAAAGGTCGGCGGTTCGAATCCCCGCGGCAGGGTGCGCTCCCGTTGCTCGGTCCCAGCGCCTGCCAACCTAGCAGTTCAAAAGCACCCCTGGGTGCAAGTAGATAAATAGGGACCGCTTACTAGCGGGAAGGTAAACGGTGTTTCCGTGTGCGGCTCTGGCTCGCCAGAGCAGCGATGTCACGCTGGCCACGTGACCCGGAAGTGTCTTCGGACAGCGCTGGCCCCCGGCCTCTTGAGTGAGATGGGCGCACAACCCCAGAGTCTGGCAAGACTGGCCCGTATGGGCAGGGGTACCTTTACCTTTAACAATGGCTACAACCATTGGACTGCACAGCCCTTCACAAGAGGGTTCAGAGCCTTCAGAAAGAGGACTGTCCTCTGCAAAAGGGAATGTTCTGACTCTGCCCATCACTTTAAATTTCCCACAATGCACCAGAGACCACTAAATAGAATCACTCTGGGACGTTGTCGTAAATGTAAGATTACGAAAAATGAAGAAAGACTCACTTAGAAAAAAGAAGTTTATTACAATCATTTTTGTTATTTATTTATTCATTAGTGGGGTGGGGGGGAAGCTTTTTCAATTTGCGTATAAGAGTCAAATCTTAAATCTGATGTAAATATTTATGGAGAAGTTGTTTAGTGTTTGCAGATTACTTTAAAACGGAGACAATCCAACACTATTTATCTTCAGTTCTGACTGAATGAATTACATAATTCATACCTGGCTCATCGTCGTTTTCTTTTTATTTCCAGAAAAGGAAAATTTATTGCATTATCATATTGTGTGTGTGTGTGTGTGTGTGTGTTGCACCTTTAAAAAAGTGTTTTGCAGTTTCAGTGCATGATGAAAGTACTCCAGTTTTCAATAAAAAGATTATTTCATTGCTTTTGTAAAGCCCACCACTTTTAACTTTCCGTGAGGCCACAGCACATCCTGACCACCTTGATGAGACGCCTTCAGACCTAGAGGCAGCCCTGGCTGCTATAACCCCATCAATTGCTATTAGCCACAACAAACCCTCCTTGTCCGGAGGCAGCGTGTCCTGTGTATGTGATGGATGCGAATAACAAAGCCACAGGCCCTGCTTGTGAGAAGGCCACACTGTTGGAGGTAAAAAGATGATGGGCTAGATGGCCTTTGGTCTGATCCAGCCAAGGAAGGTTTTTTTTGTTTAAATTGCTTAAAATGTTTACTCAGTAGATACAAAGATCGAGCTTTGCAAAAATAATAATAAAAGAGGACAAAGAAAAATATATTTACAATAACTGTAAGACATGTTTGCATCTTGTCATATAACTTGAGAGCACAATCAATCGTGTCCTTCACTCCAAAATTCATTGATCATCGCCAAGTCCTCCTAAAATATGTTATTTTCCAGATTTTAGCAATGAAGATTTTTTTTTTGCAGCTGTTAATAAGTTAGCTAGCGATTATTTTTGAATCTGCATCTAATACTTGAATCTTTCAGTGACCCAGAAGCATTTTTTATTTTTTTATTTTTTTGCATCTAGAGGTAGTGAATGTCCTCCTAGCCAAGGTTGCTTTTAAGTGTGTGGGGTTTTCCCTTTCATTCCTTATTAAAAATAAACCTAAAAACAGTGCCCGCTTTCATCTGACAGGTTGGGGGGTGAGGAGGAGACCTCGACTTCTCTTTTCTCTTTCCCCTTTTCTCCCCCTCCTCAAAGCAAGACATTCCTGCGTTAACAGGGAACTCTTGTCTCCTTAGCCTATAAATAGCGTCCCAGGTTGACTTGGGGAGGGGGGGCGGTATGTGTGCATGAAAAAAAGTGTGTGCAGGATGGGGGGAGCAACATGACCGAACGGTGGAATCTGCTAGGAGATTAGCCGTCCGCAGACACAGCACACTGCACCTGCTTCCAAGGTCTTCACATCAAGGGCTGAGGGTGGGAAGTGGGGGGAGTTGCTAACTGGACTGAAGCATTAAATTAGCTGCAGCCATGGCTGGGCGATGGGGGGGGCGCGGACAAAATGGGGGACTAGTCTGCGGGTGCCTGGCTCTTTTGAAGTCAATCCAGGCCCTTCTCTCTGAATAGTCCCTTTTCTTTAAATAATCATAATAAAAGGAATTATCTAGCCCTTTGCGATAAGGATGGGCGAAGGGAACAGCGGTGCTGTCAGGACAGGGTTTAGAATTGTAGAGGTGGAAGAGACCCTGGCGGTCATCTAGTCCAACGCAGGAATCTTTTCCCTGAACACGGGCCTCAAAGCCACAACCCTGAGATCGAGAGTCTGCCGACTGAAATATCAAGGATAGAAACATAGGCAACTGCCTTACACTGTTAGGCCCCTGGTCCATCTAACTTAGTATGGTCTCCACTGACCAGCAGCACCTCTCCAGGGTTTCAGACAAGATGTTCCCAGCCCCAACTCTACAGCTGGGACCTTCTGCATTCAAAGCAGATGTCCTGTCCCTGAGCTACAGCTCTTATCCTCCAAACAGAGTCACAGTCACATTTTCAAGTAGGACACCTTGAACTGGACCAGGTAGCTAACTGGCACAAGGCTTTGGGGCTGGCGATGACCCACAGTGCCACTCGCCAACATGGCAGCTACATTTGGCACGATCTTCAAGGGCAGCCCCAAGTAGAGCGCCTTGCAGCAGTCCAGGTGGGAGGTGATGGGCACCTGCGGCCAGGAACAGCCACAGCTAGGGCACCAGCCGTAAGTGAGCAGTTTGTCAGTTTGGGCACATGGAGTTGTCCTTTCCGCTGAAAAGTCCAGAACCAGAGTCTGTTCCTCTGCATCTTCTTGTCCTCATCATCTGATTCACCTAACCGACAATCCGCTTGTATCCAGATGCAGAGAATAAGCTCTTCTACTTGGGATGGGAAACCTGCAGCTAAGAATGGGTGGATCTGTTTGTTTTTGTTTCTTGTTTTTACGGTCTTAAACCCAACTCTCTATATTTCAACATCAGTTTGCAATTATTTAAAGAGTCCTTGTTAAAATTATCTATCATTTGAGAGCAGATTTCTCTTAATGCTGTAAATTTTACCTAATGCACATTTTTGCAAAGCTGCTACCCTTAATATGAGTGTGTTTGTTCTTTTCACTAATACTGTACTTTTTAAAAAAAATATATGACTTGATTGAAGAACTGCATTGCAAAATACAGAGAAGTGTGAATTTCACAGGGTGCAGAGGAGGCAAAAGGGATGTCCTGGGGCTGAATATATCCATGAACTGAAACCCAAATGCCTTTGTCTGGGTTGCAAGGGCCATTCTCATTTCTGCAGAACAGCTGCCAGAGGCAGAAGAGCCAGACTACTCCCCCCCCCCTGCAATTAGCTGGCAATCTTGTGAACCACATCCTCTCAGAGCCAAGCTTTTGACTCTAAAAGTGTCTTGTTTTTAACACCTTAAGTGTGCAGTAGGTTTGTCTTTTCAAACTGAAAGTTGCATCAGCTGGGGTTGGGGATGATAAATTAGCTGGATCGGGTGTTTGCATTGGGGAAATTTCCACCCTGCACTCCATTTATAGAATCATAGCATTATAGAGTTGGAAGGGACCACAAGGGTCATCTAGTCCAACCCCCTGCAATGCAGGATTTATTTATTTTGGCCCAGTGTGGGGTTCAAACCCACGACCCTGAGATTAAGAGTCTCATGCTCTACCGACTGAGCAGTGGTACTACAGATCTTCCTCGGGAGCACATGAAGGGAGTAAGGGGTCAAACTGCCCTTTCCCTGCTTGCTCCTGAGCCTTCACTGCATGAAGTGAAGGTACAGGGAATCAGGCAGAGGGGGCCTTCTTGGCAGTGGCACCTTCCCATCGTATGTCAAGGAGACAAAAGAACTACACAACTTTTAGAAGACATCTGAAGACAGCCCTGTATCAGGAAGTTTTTAATGTTTGACGTTT